GGGGGGGATATTTAGTTAAGTGAATGGCAGACTTTCCAATTTGTCATGATCATTATAGTACAAACAGCAAGTTTAAAGTGTCTGTGTTTAGTGTCACTCTTGGTCCTTTTGAATCTATCAAGCAAATTGTTCGTATGTTTTATGATCCCTGGCATTTCGAGTTTTAGCCAGCGTGATCATGTTTTGTATGTCTCAAAGAAGTATGCGTAGAAATGATATTTCTACGATTAATTGTTATTGAACCAATTACAAATTGATTAAGATATGTAGTATCTATGATATCTTGTTAATTAAAAATATTATAATATATATATATATATATATATAAATGATTTTTATGTGTTTCTTGAAGCCTTACAATAAGATAACAAAATACATAATTCGTATCTGTATAAATATTCATCGATGGCAATGATATTGTTCAATATAAGAAAAAAAAAAAAAAAAAAGAAAGATTAGAAACCTGTCTCGTCAACTAGAAATCAAAATCTGTCACTCGATCAAAAAATATGCTATAAAATGAACAGAATGTGACACAAACAGATGGCACTACAGAATTCGCTAAACATTTAATCTTACAATATATTGTAAATACTACTTTTATTATATTTTATACTCTGCTGTTTGCACATAAGTGATTTTTACAATTTTCTTTCTGTAAGTTAACGCAAGCACGATTCAACCATAATTGTGTTGTACATCCTTCTTGTACATTTCTATACATGTATCATTACAAGTAAAATGACAACATTCGAATGATTGTACGGGTCGAGTTACAATATTGATTTTGCATCTACACGCATGTTCTGTATAACAAGCAATGTTAAAAACTTTTATGTAAAGTCGATCGTCTCTTCGTGATCTTGATTGTAAAAAAAAAAAAAATATGGAAACGAAGATATGAAACAGTTTACCATGTACTCGTTTTCCGTTTAAAAGAGAGAGAAAGAGAGAGAGAAAGAAAGAAAGGAAAAAAGAAATAAAACTTTATGATGACAGTATTACGCTTTTGCGTAAGGTAACCGCATAGTAATATATTAATCATTATCTTTTAGGAATAACTGAAAACAAATAATTCAAATTAAAATCTTCAGTATGCAATATGTGAGTCGTTTTCTATTGTCAGATTATCAGATATATAAATATATATATAGATATATATTTTCAAGCTTGCACAAATGTACTTTCACACAAGGGCTGGAAATAACAGTTCCTAATCCTCTTGTCATTTCACTGTGAAATGAACTAAAAACGACACATATATTCGCATTCGTATTGCGTGTACAGAATGAATTATCGAGCAAGCATCGTTGTACAGGCTATTTTAACTTTTAATCTCGGTGCTCCTCGAGAAAAACTTGTCGAACACTGAGTGAATTTCATTGTAGCTGTTAAGAGATACCTGCGAATGTAATTCGCATTTTATGAGCTTCTCTGAAGAGAAATGCATCTCCGAATTACATTATACTACCACTTTGCGCACAGGGAGAGAACATAATAAAATAGTTGTATAATTTTTTAATTGAACGATCGTTGTATGCCTTTATTAAATACTTTCGAGATTCACGTATGTGCCCTGAATATCTTTTGTATCCATTTTTTATGTACATATATTTATACTCTGTTGGAATATGTTGATATCGGTGAATGAATAATCGCAAAGCCAAAGTGTTGAAACTTGTAATATCGGAGGTGTATAGCTCTTCGTAGATTGCCAAAGAACGATAGAAAATATAAATGAATTCCGTTCCTCTGTTCTTCCAAACTGAGAGAAAGAATTGATATTACTGTGCACGATGAGGAGGTGGTGATTCATGCAGAAATTTATAAAAATGTTTACAGTCAGTGTTGCTCAGTGCAGTATATAGAAGTTGAAAACGAAGGAATGTAAAGACAAGAGTTTTACCATGTATACAAAACGCTAATTTCGAGGGATTAGTTTTGCCACTCTCTAACGAAACGAAATGTAAAAATTTTTTTTTCTCTTTTTTTTTTTCTATGCAATTGGCGTTAAAATTGGCGCATGCAATGGATTAGGCTCTCACAGTAATTATTCCCTAATTTCCATTTCCAAAATATATTGAACATGACTCGACGAATTGATAATATTTGAAAAAAGAAAAAAAAATGCATATATTGAGAAAAAAAAAACGTAAATAATGAAATGGAAAAAGGACAAATTCTTGCTAAATATATATTCGATGCTATTATAACGATTGGGATCATGTACACGTATAACTTGTGTCAAGACTGAATTATCAAGACTTCGTAGGAGGTGGAACATTTTTGTAAATAATACTGCCTGAAAGAAATATATGTAGAAATTATACGAAAGAATTACAAAGATTGCAACCCTTATTTAAATATGTATTTTAACCCTAATATCCTGTCTGTTTCATAGAGTCGATATGCGCTCGTCGATATATTTAATTGTTTCAATGAAGAAAAACTATATACAGAGTAAGATAATAAAATATTTAAAATTATGAGTTTATATTTATTGCACAACAGGATCTTAAAATAACTGCAACTGATCGCCCTGTCACGCAAAGTGACAGCATTACAGACCTTAATTTCACTTATCAGAACAGCTCACAGTACTTTCTTCGTGTTGAGCTGTAATCACTCTCTCCTGTTGCTTTTTCAACACATTATATTATTTGTCCCCATAGAATTCTTAAATATCCTCTTCTCATTTCTTCTCTTTCTTTTTTTTCCTTTTCTTTTTCTTTTTCTTAGCATTCATCTAAGAAACAAGTCAATCGTTTCTGCTAAGCATACGTCAGAATTCGTTTGAATCATACGTGAATCGGAGAAACAAACGGTGTTTCCAACGTGTAAGTATACTTACATTACACGAACGAACGAAGCGTATATGTTCATTTCGATGAGTGAGGTATCTTGCCTCACGATTTATCCTCTACGAGGTGAGAAAGAAAGAAAAAAAAAAAAATCACGATCGATAACAAGGTTTTATTCTTCTGTATCGCTAGTGAAATGTTGCAGCTATATCTTAATTCAAACACGTTCCGATCGAGCGAAAGTTTCGAATCGAATGCCCAATCGAATGTCTCGGCGATGAAAGCATCGGAATAAGTTCAAATCGAGAGATAGATAACGCAAGTCTCGATCAAAGATTTCTCTTTTGCTTTTGTATCGGTTAATTATATCGACGTTCACTCTCCAGTCAAGTTTCGAAGGTATCGGACATAAATGGTAGTCGC